GGAAAATGACCTCACTAATTTGGGTTGGGAATGAATAAGCATTGAAAGCTCACTTATAATTAATCGAAAAAAAAAAACGAAAAAAACTCTCCTTCGTGTTAGAAATAAGATATGGACTTGAATATGCACAAGCTCGACGCATTCAGAGATTAATACGTTGAGCTAACCTGAGTATTTACAAGGAACTGATTACACACTTTTCCAACACACTGTTCTCACCTCAGTGTAGTGCTGTCCCGTTTTTCGACAGCTCCAAACCAACACTGAGATAAGCAACTTGGCGTATGGTGTCAAAGGTGAAATGATTATATGTCGGCACTCAGTGAACTCGAGCATATAGAAGAATCCAACAACAACCAGACATGAACCCATAAAGGCCACCGCAAAGTGTAGCAAAGCCAAGCAACCCGGAATCAAATACATATAAAGATAATTCGTTGTCAAAGTGTTGATTTCGTTTGAGCTTTGGCAGCATCTTTTGAGGGTATTTTCTTTATAACTCTGAGAATACATATATATTACATACACACATTGTTACAATATGTCACCACCTATCAAATTAAATTTCTGTCGCACGCATAAAGCGAGCAAAGAGAATTTTTCCCCGCTCTTCCTAACGCCGCCAAAAACATTTCATAAATACATATATATCTATATATGGACATACGGACATACATACACACAAGCACATAAATGTGCTTAGTATGTTAATTTTATTTCTAATGTCCTTCAACGCTCTACCAGCTGCGCTAGCTTTATGTATGTCCAGGTCGTACATATGTATGTGTGTTTGCATTGTGTGTGTGTATGCATGTAAGCTCACATCGATGTATGTATGTAGGTATGTGCAGGCCTCAGCTGCTTGTCAGTTCCAGCTCATAAGTCAAGTTAATTTCATGTCATTTGTTTTCAAAAATTTCAACGCTAGATAAAATTCTTCTCATCTCTTTTCGCAGCGAAGGTCCTAAAAAGGATACATAAGTGTAACTAAAGGATATGTGTGTTATATATTTAATTATATGCAATGTGTATGTGTAGGTGTGAATAATGAAGGTATACAATAACAAAAACGCTAGATTTTATGGATAATTTTGACTTTTTCGTTGACTTATTAAGATTGCCTTGCCTTAGTGGGTTTGGGGTAGCGTCTATGTATGCATGCATATATGTGTGTGACTTCGGTAATATCCTTTCATCTTGTTGAATTTTAATGCAGATTTACATTATTTTTAATTGGATGTTCACAAATTGGAATTGACTTAATGTCAAAAAGGAAATGAATACGAAGCTGCAGCCGAAGTGAAGAATTGTAATCATTAAAATAGATAAGTGTGTGTGTACTATGCATGTGTGCAACTACCCAGTAGCGAATGGTAATTTATTTGGTTATAGCCCTTAAAAGAAACACTATGTCGAAGTTGGTTTATCAAATTCCTTTCGGGTGATTCTTCACTCAAAAGATAAGCCACGTTCAGGTCGGCTTAGTGAAGTTGTTGATGACGATATCAAGGCTTTAATCGAATCGGATCGTCATGTAACTGAGCGTGAGATTGGAGAGATGTTAAGTATACCAAAACCAACCGTTCATAATAATATACGACCTCTTGAACTAATAAAAAAAATCTTGATAATTGGATACCACATGAATTGAAAGAAACTCCGCTTCAATGCTTGAAACGAATGGATTGCTTACACTAACCTCAATCGAAAACGATCAAGATCCAAAGTTTCAGAGATACAACGCATGTGCGCCCTGAGTAAAAAGCCAGCTGTCAAAAGGTCTCGAAAACCTGAACCGATCTTGGTGACATTTTCCACACGATCATTTATTACTGCCGGGGTTGAAGAGAGTGACCAACGATTAGTTGAGTTGAGTAGTCGGCAGCTGTCAAACATCAAAACTGCGTAAGATAAAACCAGGAGCTTCACAGAGTGGTGTTCTCACCCCACTTCAATTTAACTTTTACATTTCAAAACTCCCTCCTCCACCAGAGGGCGTTTCTTTGACCTCATATGGCCTCTGGCCAATACTATGTTCGAAAGTAAACTGCGGCCTCAGCGATCTTTAGCATTCTTCACTGCACCACAATTACAACTACAATCTACGAAATCCTCAATTAGAAAGTTGACGGCGTGAAAAAAGTCACAATTAATAACTCAAAGTTACTTGGAAGCACATTTGACTGCCTGCTCTACTTCACTCTGCATGCCACTGCAATTCCTACAAAAGCTCAGGGTCGCAACAAAACCCCCCAAGCGTTACTCTCAACACCTGCGTGTAAGACAAAGAAACATTGCTGGCAAGGAAAGCTCCTGCTGTCACTGGAGCATCACTTACATAGCGAAACTTCTATGCTCCTCATATTGTTGAACTTAAAGCCACCTAGGTACATCAGAAGGAGAGTACTTGACTACAAGTGTTGAGAGTCCTTTATCTCCTTCTTGAGCTGCTTTCCAGTGCAATACATTTACGGAACCCAATCACCATCCATCGCAGATCAAATGATCGTGCTGCCTCTAGAGATCTTGACATTGTAATTAATTTAATTCCTTCTTATCTAGACTTTTCTCCTACGTAGCCACGACATTAATCTCCTATTAACTTGTCCCTCAAAACTAACTCACAGAAATGAATTTCGAAAATGTATGAACGCGTATAACTCTAGAATGGTTCAGACAATTTGCCTAATCTTGATCCTGAAAAATTTTAGAAATTCAGGGAGAGTTTAATCAGTTAGAAACATCTGGAAAGTGGACAAAAAAATTAAATATTTGAAAAACGAATTTGTGGTTCGACTTGCTTCTTCTTTCCAGGAACTGGGCTGATCTATATGGAAGAATGTATAAGTTTATAGCTCGATTTGGTATATTGACGAAAATTGATTAAAATTCTTTAGGAGTGTTTGCGGCGCAACTTTCATATTCTGCGTCTGTGCGTTCAACTTTACTGTGGCTAAGCATTTAACTGAATGGTGTGTTTGGATTCTTCGAGGCATTTATATTGACATTTTCCTGAAAAAACTTTATATAGAGAATAAGTGACACGTACATGTACGTAGGGTATGTTCAGTAACACAGGGTTACATGTTATGCGGTTTCCAAAATATATGTAACTAAATGCACAAATTACCAACTCGCAAATTTTTGCAAACCTCATTTCATTTTCGACGTATGGACGGTGTTGGGAATGGTCAGCTGGCTTCAGTGCGCTGAATTCTACATGGATGTAAATTTAAGTCCAAGTGCTAAATTCGTCAGAATTAACTCTAAGAAAGTGCCATCGGACCATTTCGGGTCTTCGGCTACGCTTCCACTTACAGTGGCGATATTTGAGATGGAACGAAGCAAAACGATGATGCACAGGCCTTATACTATCTGTAACCGATTCAGTCTCTTCAAATTTCCTTAAAATTTGACCAATTATTGGACGAATATATGCATCGTATGCGCGGTTGTTAAGCGATCAATTTTCATAAGTCTTTTTACTGAAACAAAATATGTTTAGTTTGAAAGTTGAGTCTTACAATTCTCAATACACAGCTATACTCTTTGATTTTTTTATTTTTTACTTATATATAAGTTAGATGCAAAGCAAACAAACCTCTCCTCTTGAAGCACCAGACTGTCATATGAATTTCAAACAACGAATTGAATGGCCCTGTATAACAAAAGCCTAAATATTTTGCATTCGACGATATTTTTCCGTCGTAGTGAAGCACCTTGTCGGACTGCAATACAAAAATTGGTGGAAAAAAATAGAGCTATTGGGACAAGTTAGTGACGTGAAGAATAAAAGACGTACACGTCGCTCAAGAACAACTGAGAATATTGCTGCTGTAGCCCAAAGTAGTGAAGAAAATCTAGCTTGGTCAATTCCCCGTCTCTCCTCGGCATTCCGAAAATATCTCTAAACCTTGTTTTGCATAAATACTTGGTTATTAAGGCTTACGAAGCTCAGTTAACATAAGAACTGAAACGAGCCGATCATCAACAATACCGTGTTTTGCTGATTGGGTCCGTGAAGTGCATGAAAATGATACGAAATTTCATCGAATAATCATTTTGACTTATAAAGGCCCATTTATCTGGGGCACGTAAAACCCTGCGTCTTCAACGTGTAATTATTTGCTTGCGGCTTACGGTCCGGCGGTATCTTTAGACCTTACTTTTTTGGAAATGAATGGACTATGCTGTCGAGAAATGATTAAAGGCCGGAATCTGTAGAAAATTAATTTCAAAAAGACGGCCCTAAGTGCGACATAGGCAACGAAATCATCGATATTTTAAGGGAAAAGTTTCTTTGAATATCAAAATAGTACCTCTTATTGGAAAACCCTATACAGAAGACCTTTTCATCTGACGTTTTTAAATTGAAGTGTCGGGCGACAAGTAAAGATCCGTAATTTAAAACAGTTTTTAAATAATTTTGGTATTATTTAGGGTTTATATATATATTTATTACTTTATATATGTATCTTTTATTTCATATATGTATTTTTGTATTTCATTTTCGTAAATATCAACAAAACATTCTATGCTTATAATAAATGTCTTTACAATTTTTTTCATCAGATATTGGGCAGGGCTTCTCGGCCCATATGTGGCGCCCTACATATTTTTGGACAACGGTGACTACCTCTTTTGCTAGGAAGCCTCACTCGACGTCAATTTAGACCTCTCCAACGGGGGCTTGAGCTCTTGATACGCTGAGTAATGGGCACTTGCCCGAACCGTTTCTTTTTTCTTTACTTTAATTCGAAAGTCTATTCAATATAAATATAGTAAGTAAAATCCAAAAGTATAACTATTCGACATAAATAACTATATGTTAGTATGTACACGTGTGTTTGTATTGGAATATGTATATATGTTAAAAACACAATAAACTTTACGATTGTACATATATATGTACATATGTGTATACTTAAGATTTACAAATGAGTTTTTTTTTTACAATATGAATGAAATTTTGATTTTTAATTTCTTACATATAACGGTAATATACATATATTTCTAGTAATAATTTTATATTTTCTCTTTAATAAATTCGATATGTGATTTTCTTCGTTTTACAAAACGTTTCTAATTTTTACATATTTTTTTTACAATACATAAACTTTTTTTTAAATCTCCCAAACACTCTTTCGTTCACTTCTCTCAAAGACTCATCACTTTAACCTGCACTGAAATACGATATGGCAACTCTAAACAATAAACAACTATGTATCCTTTACTGCACGCATTTAGAGTATCATTGCTTCGCGCTCAACTCAACGCGCTCATCAACAGCCTCTTCGCTCTGCTCTACGAGCACTTTTAAGCCCAACGCCGTCACCATGGCGTTACGCAGCCGCTAGTAGGGACGCCAGACATCCGTCGACTTTGGTGTACGGCAACGTATGGGTCCAAAGTCACTGCGATCCAGCTCAGTGCGTGACGTCGTGCTCACATCGTCTAAATCGATCGTCTCTACGGGCGATGGTGAACGACGTGTTGATGTTACAGGCGGTGAGGCGTTCGGATTTGCATTCTCCGCATCGGGTGAGTGTGAGATGAGTGTCACAGAACGCTTCACCAAGTTGACGCCACTAGAGGTCGCTTCAGTCGATGTCAAACTTGGCATGTCCACTTGCGCCGTACTGGGTAACGGTTGTGTTAGTCCCTCTGCCGTGCCGGAACCAGCAGCAGCGTTGCGGAACCACGGAAACTCACTGTAGTTACCATAGAGCTGGGTGTACAACCATTGACTAGGCTGTGGCAAAAGCGGATTCTGTAGAAAAAGTTGCGCCGCTAAGGCGGGATTAAAGTTATTCGCCGCGGGCGTGAACTGTGAGGCAAAGCCGTTGAAGAATTCATTTTTACGCAGCGTCGTATTTCGTTGTATAAGTGAGGTGAAGGCACCTCCGCCACCACCGCTTGCCGAGCCACTATTCGAAGGCGGTGATGTGCTTCGCCCATCGTCATCTTCATGCAGCGAGGATGTCTTTCTTGGTGAACCCGTCACTGATATGCTATCACTCTCGAAACCTGTATCTACATTATTATTATTATCATTATCACTGTTCGTCGTTGTTAAAGGCGGGGAGGTTGTGAGCAACGGTTGTCCGCTCATGTTACCTGTCGTCGTTGTGGGCGAACCTTCCGGGCTGGTGGTGCTATGTGCTACGGATAATTGACGCAATTGTGTCAGGTGATGATGCGACTCTGTGTGGAAGAAAATAGAGAGAGAGAGAGATAGAGATTATTATGGGCCTACAGGAATGAATGTGATTCCGGCAACAAACCATTTAATGTGCCCAACCGGTGGCGCTCCAAATTACCAGCAATGCTATGCGCTTGAAAAGCAGGATGTTGGTGATGAAAGAAGGGCGCCGCATGCGGGAAACCTGGTCGCGCTAAAGCCGCTGGATTACTCACAGCGCTCAACGCCCGCCAATCGGGCGCATGCAGATGACTATGCATTCCGACGAGATGATGTGCGAAACCTTGAAGAGGGAAAGAGTAAAGAGAATAAGATGATTAGAGAATTAGATGGATTTTCGCTGAAAGTTTAGGCGCAGCGGCTGAGCCAAAGTTGTAATTTTACTTTCAGTCTCGCAACGAAACCGATTTCCAAATGGCATCGCATGAGTTCAGATGCTTCTAAATGAAAAACATATAATTTAACAGATCAAGACATGACGCTGTGAACTCAGTTATATTGTAAGTCAGATCCCGAAGTTAAGGGCTTAGCAAAGAAGTCTACTTTTTGTCATTACGTGGACAATAAGACATCTTTCGTTAGATGAATTCACCCGTTGAATGTCATCTCCTTTACAGTGGCTTTCAGTGATAGTTTTCTGGTATTCCGACTTATCTGGTGGATATCTTCTGGTGGCATAGGTTGGGAATAATAAGGCTTCCTAAGCATTACGAAATCGAAAGAAAAATTCAAAATTCAGCTAAACAGTGTGCTGTTGATCTCGGAAGGATGGTGGGTGGATAAGTCTTCCATTGGTAGTGTCAAAAGATCTAAGTGCGATCATCTATAACGCTAATATCTCTTTTCGATGAAGAGTGTCTTTGTCATGGAAGAAGCGCTTAGGTTGCGAATACATATTACCAAAACCTCCCACTTATAGAGGATAATTTCTCAAGGTGCGATCTGGAAGGAGAGTAGATAATTTTGGTATTGCAACGAAAGAAGCTTTGATACTCCGATTAACGAACATAGTTTGTCCCGATCACGACAACGGTTGTGATGCCGGCATAAAATTGGGCGATTTTTTCCCGGTCGTAAAAACATATAGTCAGTAAATCCAGATTCTTGGATGGAAAATCTATCAAGCTACTGTCTCCGCAGTGTAAATTTCGACCCCAAGAAGGAATAACCCAAATTTCTAAACGTTTATACTCTCTGTTTTCACGCTTTCGAGGGTCGACAATCATGCAAAGCGAAGAAAGAAGACCAGCGAGCGCGAAGATCTTAAACTGATGGAAACAAATATGAATTGCGAGAAAGGGGCTGTGAGGAGATGCGAAGAGTTACAACCGAGCAGGAAGCGAAAAATTTTCTTGAGAAAAACCTCAAAAGTAAGTTCAGAGATTTAAATTACGGACTGAGTTCATCTATGTTTTTGCTGTGCTTCTTTCTCTCGCCCTCGTTTTTGAGATATATAAACCTTCGTCTTATTGACACCTGCTTTAAATCGCCCTCAGCCACGAATTCCTTCACAAAAAAAAACTTTATTTAATTTCCTCACCACAAAGTACAACCAAAAATTACAAAAACACACATCTCACTTGCCGGTGAGCAGCCATATCGGCAAACGACCACACACACCATGCCCCGAACACTCAGCTCCGTCGATAAAGCAGTGCGGCCGAAGAAAACACTGAGTGTCTAAGTCGGCCGCCAAGAACCACAGTTATATGAGTACAACACTTGAGTTAATGTATGTATATGTGTGTAGAAATTTTGCACTTTCTCTGGCTTTGGCTCCAATTCTATCGAACGACATCATGCGAATGTATGTACGAGTATTAGCCAAGTTTGCAATGGCAGTGGCTTTGCTTTCACTCCCACTAAAACCTAAATATGCGGTCCTGTAAGGAAACCCATGTGCGATAAAGGGTTAGCCACGTTGGTCGCAGTTTGTGTTATGCACTGCGCCCCGTCTCGGCCAGCCCCGACAAATACGAAACTCGAAGCTCACATAAAGCAGCAGGCGAGCAAACGACAGAAAGAGAAAGAGAACGAGTGTTGGAATAAAAGAAAAGCAATGACCAGGTAGGTGGAGGAGGAGGTGGGTAGATATCATTTAATCGGACGGTCTCGGCTGCCTTTTAAGCCTTCTTCGTGGTTATGTTTTGCACACAAATGTATCAGAGCGAACGGTTGAAGCTGAGAGGAATGTGCCGGTATGGGTTTTTGGTGGTAAGAGATGCTACCACAATCACATGCGCACACAGCCACACGCACACTCAACTGTGTGTTAATTTGTATATGCTCACATGTCAATGTATGAGTATTTGTGCAAATGTGGGTCGTCAACGATGTCTCGTTGTCGTTGTCGTTGTCGCTGTCGTGTGCCATGTTTTGTTGGTAGTTGAATTGGTTGAGTCGTTTTGTGCAACGAGTCGGAGTCGGAGTCAGAGTCAGCGTATACAACGCCGTCGCTCGCAACAACCCGTTGTTGGTATTTTGGCTAACATACACCCACACACATGCGTGCCTGTTGTTGGCTTTGTTGCTTGTTGGCTGTGGCGGTAGCGGTGGCGTTGACGGGGCATAACGTGGTCCCATTGGTGCGCCGCAAAAAGCTTTCTTGCTTTTGCTTTCACATGACACACCTACACACATGCTCCCATACATACAGACATTTCCACAGCCTCTGTCACTGCCTCCAACAGATTACCGCTGTTATTGTGTTTGTTGTTGTTGTTTCTGTAGGAGCAATGGAGTCTGTCTGCATTGGCAGCATCGGTTCTCATCAACACAAGTTTGAGTTGTCGCTTTCTTGGCTGTCTTATTGTCTTTCGGTCTGCCACTTGCTGGCATTTTTCTGATTCTGCACAGCGTTGCGGCCGGGCAAACGGTCGGTTGGCGAGTGGAATTGTCTCAGTCCTTGCCGCAGTTGACTATGTGGCTGTGTGGTGGCATTTTGTGGCATCAGTAGTGGTGGTAATAGCATACATTAGTTAGTGTCCCACACAAAGATGCGCTCCGCAGTCAACGCAGCCCTCCGTCTGCGCCCTCTCCCGAAAGACAGCAGCTCGACCCACTCTGTTCTGGGTATCCAGCTGTATGAGTGTATAGACGTACATACATATGTACATATATGTGTGCGCTCAATGTATGCCACAGAATTCCAACACACAAATTTCGGTATCAGGTCGCCCCACAAAACTGGTGTGGCTCCAGCCACAGCTACAACCAAGCAGCCAGCCAACCGACCAACCAAAGCAAGTTCCAAGCCTCTATTCGGTTGGTGCATTGCATTTTTGCTCTGCCGCCGCTTTTATTTGGGCTTTTCCATCCCATTTTATTCTCACATTCTTTTTGGTTTCTGCTTCTGTGTTCTTGTTTTCGTACCTTTTTTGTATTTATTTATGAAATTTTATTTTATTACGCCTTTTGTGGGTATTCGATGTGTGGGTTTCAGATACACCCACAAATGGAATATTTTACGGTGTAATAAAAGTGGCAGAAATACACGGATTTATGGTAAAGTTTTGCCTTTGTGCATGTGTGAGTGCCTAGCAAAGTTGGGAAGTTGGAAATTTGGCAAACGTGTATAGAAAGAAATTTAGTTTGAATGAATTTATTTTATGCATAAATAAATAAATCATAAATCTCATTGAGAGGATTTGGAAATTGGAAAATGAATTTTTACAGTTATGAGGAAGGAAGTGTAAAAATTAAAAGCAAAAAACTTAGCTTCAAAATATACTTCTTTCGGATTCCGATTTTATTTTTTACTCAAATTCATTATTTTGTGCTTTGTGTGTAGTTCTTAAGTAACAAAAAGGATTCTCAACACCGCAGACATGTCTTTCATTATGTACACACAAATGTCAGAACTCGGTACCCCCGCAAAACTTCTACGGCTAAACTGACGTTACTCAATACCAAAAGCTCTGTCAGGGTCGTATGAAACGAGGTTCCAGACAGGGTGATTCCTTATCGTGTGACCTCCTTAATTTATTCATTGTTGGAGAAAACAATACGAACTGCAGAGCTGAACAGGGAAGGTACAATCTTCTTTAAAGGTGATATTGATAATGACATCATTGGCCTCAACGACCACACACAGTGATATATACGGATTGACGTTGTTCAGCGAGTCAAGAGACAGTGGAGACGCTGGCCAGATCATGTGGTCCGAATAAATGAAAGAGCTCTAGCGTTGAAAGTTTTCGATGCAGTACTCGCCGGGGTAAGCCAAGGAAGAAGAAGATCTGCACTCCGTTGAAAGCATCAGGTTGAAAAGGACCTAGCCGTACTTGGTATTTCCACTTGCGCGAAGCAGCGAAAAGTAGAAATGGAATATTATTTCGATCTCGTAAGCGGCGTCTACGCGAATAAAAAGGTACATATGACTTTAAACCGTTGAATCGCTTTCCAGCCGAGCTTCTCCTTTAATGTGTGATTTTTTGGCTTATTATTCGAACAAATAAACCAAAAGTTTATTCTAAGCCGACTCCGAGCGATGTAGCTTTAAGTTCATGTCAGAAAAGAATTCTACTAAATTTTGTATTTAAAATAATTTTCAATCATTTTGGATGTTGATCGGACCAGGACTCTAAGCCTGGGATTTTTAAGAGTAAATTTGTCAAGCTCTCATAAGCTTATAGAACTTACTGCAGGTACTGCAAGGTTAATAAGGAGGAGGAAATTAATGCCATCGTTTAAGCAACTGCACTGCTGGTTGGATATCGAAGCCTATTGTTAAGGTTTTCATGTCATCACAACTGGTCTAATTCAAGCCTGGATCTAGTTGATTGGTTGCCACTGCAAGCTAGCCTACACCGATAGGTTTATATATTTCCTCTCCACATGGCTTTTTGTGGAGTTTTTGATTTCGACCGCGAAGCTGATGAGCTCGATTACAATGCTTCCCGCGGCTGAGTTGTATATTCCACAGCATTGTAATCTGTTTGTGGCATCAATAGGGTTCCATATTTCTTTTGGAATTAAATTCTCGTAAGATAGTTTCAAGGTTAACTGAAATTGATGTCGGCTTGAGCCGTTCTATATTTGGGTATAGTTTCTCGTTTTTTCAAAATCTATGGCTGAAAGATACTGCAATTAAGATATGTTGGACTTTAATGCCATCTTTCAACTTCAAACCATGGATATTATTTGTCCACCATCTTCTAAGTTCGTCGATACACTAAAAATAATCTACTTCACTTGTGCTCTCTGTTGAAAACGGAGGCTTCTCCCCCGAAAATCTCAATTTATTTCAATGCTCATGGACACCATTTCCATCTGCCATTTAAT